TTGGAAAAGACAAATCAGCAGTTCCATATTGGTCTTGGAAAAGACAACAATGAGTGGGAGAGGTGGTGCCAGGCACCATGCAAAGCCATATGTTGATACAGGAATTCTGTATAAATGCTTGGAAAAGCATGAGGGGCTTTTATCTGAGATGGGTGCCTATGAGCACATCTCCAGGAACATGGCCCCTGACCCTAAGGGCTTGCTTCACACAATGCCCCTCTGGAGAGAATTCCTAAGGGTTGAGCCAAGTGGAGAAATCCATAGCCAACCCTTGAGGGCAGCACTGCTCTCCTTCCTGACAGAGAAGCCCAGCCTGAACCATACCAACCACAGTGGTCAGGTCTGGTGCAATCTCAAATTGGAGAGGCTGACATGCATGCTGGCTCATGTCAGAAAGGTGGGGAGAGACTCCACTTGTCTCACACCTATAGCTGCCAAGCTGACCAGGCTAGAATACAACACTCTCATGGATGCCCTGAAGCTCATGCAACTCCCTGTCTTGGAAAAGGAGGGGGATGCTGAAGCAAAGGCCTTGGAAAAGGTCAAGGGCAGTGATGGGAGGTGTGAAAAGAATGCCTTGGAAAAGGCAGAAGGTGAGAGGAAGAAAAAGAAGCTGAAGCAGCAAAGCAGTGAGGTCTCAATGGACAGCAAAGGCTTCCCTACAATGTTTGACACCAGCCCAGAGCCCTTGGAAAAGGGGAAGCTGCCAGCTTCTTCCTCAAAGCCTATCAGCACCCTCAGGCCAGGGCAAAGGCTTGGAAAAAGCCTAGACACCACTTCAGTGCAAAAGAAATTGGGGTATATTGCCAAGAAGCCAGCAGCTGCAGCAGCACCAGGCTTGGAAAAGCCAAAGGCAAAGGGGAAAGCAAAGCCAAAGCCAAAGGCCTTGGGAAAGGCTGTGAGGAAGGCCTGGGTGAAGCTCAGGCAGACCAATGCAAACAACCCCAAGAGGGCATACCTCCAAGGCTGCACAGATGGTGGCAAGGTCCACTTGATTGTGGAAGTCACTGAGAAGAGGTGCCCCAAATATTTGCAAGTGGTTGAGAAGATCAAAACAGCCTTGGAAAAGGATGCACTGACCAAAGCTGAGGCCATTCAGCTTAGGGATGATCTTTGTGACAAATTCAAGGCCTGAGCAGTGGTTACCCTTGGAAAAGGGCAGTGTTGAATTTCTTGGAAAAGGAAAGGCTTAGGAAGCTTAGGGAGCCCTTGGAAAAGGGCATGGACAGCCAGCATCCTGAAAAGCAGGATTGCAAGTTTTTGCTTGGAAAAAAGGCTTGTTGGCATGAGTGTGGGAAGGCTTTTTGTAACTTTCCTTTGGTTTCCTTGTTGTTGGCCTTGGTCGGTTTGCCTAACAGCACTCCTACAAGTACTGGTTCTGGTGCATGCATGGTGTTGTTGTTGGTGTGGGTGGGAAAACCTCAGAATGTTGGTGTGGGTAGGCCTATAGGTTTAAACCATGTGTGGTTGTTGCAGCCTTTTTGGCTTGAGGGTTACACCACTTGAATGCAACAGCAGCTACACTAGCAACACCTTGCAACACAATGCAAAAAAATAAGCAGCAACAAGCAACACAACTCCAGATGTCAAAGCAAAGCAACCAAAACTGTATATAGGAATAGGTTTGTGCCTAGTGCCTGTGGCTTGGAAAAGTCACAGGCTTGAAAAAGCCAAAGGAGCCATGGCTTGGTATTCCCAGCAAAGGGAGTACACAGATGATGAATGGAAGGCCTGGGAAGGCCTGAACAAGAAGTGGAGGCCCTCTGGAAGTGGCACTACCACAAAGTGGAGGCAGCTGGATAGAGAAAAGAAACAGTGGAGCTACCTGGAGTTCAAAGACCACCAGCCCAGCACCAAAGAAAACCTGGCAGAACACCTTAAGGCCTTGGACAAGGCCAGGGCAAGAGCTGCTGCCCAGCTTGAAGCCTTGGAAAAGGCAGAAAGTTCAAACAGCTATACAAGCTATAGCAGCTGCAGCAGCAGCTCCAGTGCACAGCAGCCCGTGGCAAAATCTGCCAGGATTGCCACAGAAAGTGCTCGATCCTCCAGGTCACTGTCTAGGGGCAAGAAAGGCCCCAGGCAAGTGATCCTCCAAGAAGGGCCTTTGGAAAAGGGCCAAGAAGAGGAGGCACAGAGTCCAGCACAGCCTTTGGAAAAGGGCCATGAGGCCAAGGCAGAGACCTTGGGCAAAGACCAGGCCCAGGCAGTCTCCTTGGAAAAGGAAAATGCCCAGGCAGTCACTCCACCACAGCCTTTGGAAAAGGGCCAAGAGGCCAAGGCAGAGACCTTGGGAAAAGACCAGGCCCAGGCAGTCTCCTTGGAAAAGGATGATGCCCAGGCAGTCTCCTTGGAAAAGGATGGTGGTGGCAAGGAAAAGGTGCCCTTGGAAAAGGGTGAGGATGACCAGGCCTCTTGGACCACAGTGTCCAAAAAGAAGAAAAGGAGTGAGGAGCCAAAGTCCTTGGAAAAGGACAAGCCTTTGGTGGTTGTGGATTGGCACCAACCACTGGAGGTAGATGAAGACATCCTCTGAGAACCTGCAGGCCCTCACACAGCTGCTTGGAAAAGCAGATGTGCACCTCTTGTCCTATGCGCAGAGTGGCAAGAGGGAAAATAAGGTGATGCAGGACATGTGGCGCCTCCCCCAGAGAGACAGGATCACAGCAATGGAGACCTGCTGGAAAAAGTGGGGTGAGGGTGGCAAGTGCCACATTGCCTGGAGCATAGGTGCCATGGCAATATTTGATGATGACCCTGGCATCATCAAGGAATGCTTGGATTGGGGCCTGGAGGTGTACCCCATAAGGACACCCAGGCAGAGCCACTCATACCTTGGAAAAGGTATCTGCAGCTATGACACCTTTGCTGATGCAGTGAAGGCTTTCAAACAGAACCACCCAGAGCTGTAACAGCTTGGAAAAGCTGCATGGGGCTTGGAAAAGCCATGTGGAAGGTCTTGGAAAAGGCCAAACTAGGGCAGTAGGACAGGCCTGCTTGGGCTGCAGCAAAGTTGGTTGAAGTAGCTGTGTTGAATAAATAAAGAACCTAGCAGCTAATGGTTCTACAAGCTGTTGTTGCTGTTGTTGTTGGTGTGTGTGCAGCCCAAAGCAGCAAAGCACAATGTCTCACCCTGTCTTGGAAAAGGCTGTCTCACCCTGCAAGAATTCAAAACAATGGAAGAAAACATATGAAATATATGAAGATATATATATATATATATGTATATATATATATTTATATTTATATTTTATTAGGTAATCATATGAATGATATATTATGTATATATATACATATGTGTGTAATTGTTTGGGTAAATACAAAATATTGACAAGGTTCTAGTTTATTCTTGAAATATATATAAATGATTAACAGAGGTTTGTTCTTATTTGATTATGTTGTTTGTTTTTACAAAACTATTTCTTGGATGGATTAGGGTTACTGTAAGGTTAAGGTTATCAGGGTTCAGGGATGAAATATTTCTGGGCTGGGCCTCAGGCATGTGTCAAGGAGTTCTTAAAGGAGTTCTTAAAACCTGAGAAGCTACTAAAGTATGTCTGATAAACACACAAATACAGTTGTTTTCCAAAAAGAACTGAAATTTTCAATTCTTACCCAAACTGGTCAAATCTTATCAAACCTCGTCAAATCTTATCAAACCTCGTCAAATCTTATCAAAACCAAGATTTCATAAGATTTCATAAGATTTGATAAGATTTGATAAGATTTCATAAGATTTGATAAAATGTGATAGGGTTGTAAAAAAAATCTAGCAACCCACATAGCAGTCTGAATGTATTTGCAGCTGTGTTGGGTTCAAGCTAGCTCACAGAACCTGAGTGCCAACATGGCACCAAAGAAAGCCATGAAAGGAATTTTGAAAGTGAAAAAGGGCTTGGGAAAGTCCAAAGTGAGAAAGGGCTTGGGAAAGCCCAAGGCAAAGGCCAAGACCAAGGCACAAGCCAAGGCAAAGGCTAAGAGGGACCTCAGCAAGGCCAACTTGGAAAAGTTGGGCCATATGAGCTTGAAAGACAAAGTGACCAAAGCCTGTGAGGAAGGTGACAGCTTAGAGGAATCAGCAGAGCTCCTCAAGAAAAGCCTGACCAAAGATGAACACTCCCAGATCTGGGGCAAGCACCAGACTGCCCTGAAGAATGCTTCAGACTTGGAAAAGTCAGAATATGAGAAGAAGGGAAAAAAGGAAAAGGGCTTGGCAGCAGCCATGTGGCTGCTGATCAAGGATGGCAAGAAGTACATGCACTGCAGAAGGGATGTGCATGCCAAGGAATCCTTGAAAAAGGGTGACAAGTGGGAATCTTGGAAGCAGATGCTGGAGAAATTCGATGAACAGGAACTCAATCAGCATTTGGCCTCAGGCAGAGTCATTTGGAGAGATGACCCTGTGACATGGGGCGTCTTCCAATACAAAGACACCCAGGACTGGAGCAGGGAGCTGCATGTCGGTCGGGGGAAGACATGGCAGGAGGGCCAAGAGTATGAGCCTGAGAAGGAGGACTTGGAAAAGTTCAATGAGCTCTACAACCAAGATGCCATGGGCTTGAGCCTTGAAGACATCTCTGATGGCCTTGGAAAAGGCAAAGGCAAAGGCCTTGGAAAAAAAGGTCTTGGAAAAGGCCATGGCAAAGGGAAGGGCAAAGGAAAGAAGGGCCTTGGGAAAGGTGATGATAAACTAGCCATCTGTGATGGCTCTGTTGATGACAAGGAGCCAAGTGAGGAGGAGGATTTGCCAACTGAAGAAGAAGCCTTGGAAATGGCTTTGAAAAAGGCAAAGAAAGCCAGGGATGCTGTGTGCAGTGCAAGGGCAGACCTGGAAGATGCCTTGGAAAAGGCTTCCCCACACTTGAGCAGGAAAGGCAAGGCTGGTGCAGCAGGGCTTGATGTAGAACTTGGAAAAGTTCATGGGCTGCTGAAGGGGGTCTTGCAAGGCAAGAAAAAAGGACAAACCAGCAAGAGTGTCCAGAAGGTGCTGGAAGAGAGCGCCAAAGTGATCAAAGCAGCCAAAGATGAATGCAAGGAACTCATGCAGATTGGCAACAAAGCCCAGTCTGTAGCCAGCAAGAGGTCCAGAACCTGAACAATGAAATCTTGGAAAAGATCTGGCACATGGGTCTTGGAAAAGACTGATAGTATAGGGCTAGCAATGGTAAGCCAAAAGGGTTTGCCAGTTTTTGGACACATGCAATGAGGAAGTGACAAAAATGGCAGCTTGGGCAAGACTGGTCTTGGTATGGTACACCCTACTCATGTACATGTCTTATGTGTGCACATGATGGGAATGCAGCCATTTTGGTTCAAAGGGTATAATAGCTAGGCAATACTACAGTCTTGGAAAAGACTTGGCAAGGCTGACAGTCTTGGAAAAGACTGAGGCCTGACCACCATTGTTTTAGATAGGATGGCTAAAAGGCTGAGGGGGTGGCAGCTGGAAATGGAATCTGGTAGGGTGCCAGTTGTAACAAAAAGAAAAAAGGCATTGGAAGAGGCAAAGGCCTTGGAAAAGGCAGAGAAGACACCACAATCAGGACTAGCCAACAAATTGTTGGGATTGTGGGCTCAAGGCCTCTTATCAGCAGTGATGATAAGAGAGCTAGCAGACCTAGCACTGCAAGATGGAGCTAGCCATGAAGACCTAGTCTCTTTGGCTAAGGCAGGTGCATGGGGCCAGCAGCCAGGCAACAGCCACAGACAGATTATGTCCACATTCTGTCCCCAGGTTTTCCTCCCAGAAGGATTTCCTGTGAAGGTTGTTTGCATTGACCCAAAAACATCCTTGGAAAAGGAAGAGCATGCAAGCATCTTCCTGCCTCACCTGAAATTTGCTTCCCTGGGCACCCACTACCCAGCCTTTTTCCATGAACAGTTCAGCCTTGGAAAAGGCAGCTTGGAAAAGTTTTGGGCAGGTGTGGAAGCTTCAGGCGATGATAGGCTGCAGGGACACCCTATGTGCTTGGAAAAGCACTGGAGGGAAAAGACCATCCCTATATTTGTCCATGGAGATGGTGTGGAGTACCAGTCGAGGGACAACTTGTTAGTGTTCAGCTGGGGGGGGGCCTATTGGCCAGCATGAACTCCCTCAAGGAGCATATGCTCCTTGCAGCCTTCCCCAAAAGCTGCACTTCACCAAAAACCTGGCCTGCAATATGGAAGGTGCTGAGGTGGTCCCTGGAGAGCCTTGGAAAAGGCATTCATCCCTCCCTGGACTGGAATGGCAAGCCCTTGGAAAAGGGTTCCCCATTCTATGCTCAAAAAGGCAGCCCTCTTCACCCCAAACACTACAGATGTTGCGTTTGGTCCATTATAGGGGATCATGAATACTATGCAAATATCCTTCATCTCACACACTGGGCCTCACATTACCCTTGTTGGGAATGTGATGCTGAGAGCTTTGCTGGAGCAGATCCTGGAAAGGATTACAAGAATATCTGCTTGGAAAAGCAAACATTCCAAGTTCTGAGCCATCAAAATCAGCTGGATGACCCTTGGTCTGATCATGACTTGTTCAAGCTCCCACATGTCTCATGCAAGAATGTGAGAGGCGATCCAATGCACATTCTTTTTTGTAAGGGGATTTACAGCCATGTGGCAGGGGGCTGTTTGCACTATGCATGTTGGCATGAAGGACCAGCAAAGAAATGTGCAGTGAAGCCTTGGGAAAGGCTATCAGTTATCTTTGGTCTGATCCAGGAACAGTACAGGGATCAAAAGCTTGAGAACCGCTTGACAAACCTTAAACTGTCAATGTTCTCTGACCCAGCAAAACCCTGGGCCACAAGAGCTTCCCTCGACTGCAAAGCTGGTGAAGCCAAGCACTTGCTGCCTGCTCTTGTCCCTGTCTTGGAAAAGATGTTTGAAGGGACTTCCAAACCAGAGGAGCAGAAAATGATAACAGCAGCCTCAAGCTTGGAAAAGCTTGTGAGGTTATGGGATGAAGCTGGCACATTCTTGTCAGGTGCTGAGTATGGCAAATCCTTGGCTCTTGGAAAAGAGTTCTTGGATGCCTACCAATGGCTTCATCTGTGGTCCTTGGAAAAGGGCAGGAATAGTTTTGCCATTGTTGCTAAACACCACACCTTCATCCACCTGGTGTGGAATAGCAGATTCATGAACCCCACCAGGCATTGGCGCTTTAAGGGAGAAGATTTTGTTGGCCACATCAGCAAAATGGCCCATTCGGTTTCTTTTGGTGTTTCAAGCATTCGCTTGAGCCAGAAGATAACAGCCAAATACAGGGTGCTGGTGCATTTCTTGTTAACAAGGGAGATGCACCAGAACCACCTTGAAGACCTGTGACTGCTTGGAAAAGTGGTCATAGGCAATGTCTTGGAAAAGGCGTGTGCATGTGGTCACATGGAGTCTTGGAAAAGGCATGTGCATAGCAGTGGCCTTGGAAAAGGCATGTGCAAATAGCAGATATGGAATCCCAGAGAAAAAGGAAATCTTATCAAATATATTGATTTCCATATTGATTTTTTATTGAATTTTGTATTGATTTTGATACCTTCAAAACCTAGTCAAAAATATTGATCTATTGATTTGCAAAATCAATCTGAGATATTGATTTTGCAAGCCTCTAAATCAATATATTGATTCTAATCAAGAGGTGATGCTCAGGGGATATCGTACGTAGTCAATCGGTTCACGTTCATCGATGGCCGCTTGAGATGCATGCCTGCAGTTGCCAATGTACATGCGCGAGCAGTAGATGACTACAAACACTCGCGCTATCGCTTCGGCAAATGCTTCTGCTAACCTGCG